ATATTGCTATGTACTAGTAAAAATAATAATTACAGAGGTGGGTGTTTAGCCTTGCAGTGGACACCCATGACACCCACATCCCAAATCAGAGCGCCTGAGTTTGATGCTTGGTTCCAGCTCCTGACTCCAGTTTTCTGCTACAGCAGACCCTGTGAGGCAGTGGTGATGGCTCAAGTAATTAGGTTCTTGTCACCTATGGCAGAGACCTAGTTTGAGTTCCTGGTTTTGGCTCTGGCTTCTACCTGGCCCACACCTAACCAACTGAGTGGACCACCCATGTGGGCATTTGTGAAGTGAAACAGTGGATGAGATGTCTCTCTCTCTCTCTCTCTCTCTCTCTCTCTTTTCTTTCTAAGTCTCAAATAAATAAACTAAAAAAAAATTAATGACAATGACTTTTACTTATACAAAGGTTCTTCAAAAAATTCATAGAGGTGCTGGCATTTTGGCATAGCAGGTTAAGCTGCTGCCTGCAATGCCAGCATCCCATATGAGCACCAGTTCAAATCCCAGCTCCACTTCTGATCCATCCAGCTCCCTGCTAATACATCTGGGAAAGTGGAAAGCAGTGGATGATGGCCCAAGTGCTTGGGCTCCTGCACCCATGTGGGGGACCCAAATGAAGTTCCTGGCTCCTGACTTTGGCGCTGCCCAGTCCTGGCCATTACAGCCATTTGGGAAGTGAATCAGTAGATAAAAGATCTCTCTCTCTCTCTCTCTCTCTCTCTCTCTCTCCCCCTTCTTCCCCCTCCCTCTCTTCTTCTCTCCCTCCATCTCCTTCTCCCTCTCTCTGTAACTCTGCCTTTCAAATAAATAAATAAATCTTTTTTTAAAAATTACAGAAATGGAATTAAAACATAAGTTTATTTCTATGCAAACATTTTTGAAAACCATTTAATTGAAGGTTCTTTGAAAGGTTCATGGAAATGTGTATTATAAAAAAAGTAGGCATGGATTTCAAAATCTTTCTAATTTCTAGATGACATATAATATCCTGGACTTTAAACTTCTTAAATCTGCTATCTTCTTTATTTGATATGCAGAGAAAGAGAAACAGATATCTTCCATTGACTAGTTCCCTCCCCCAAATGACTGCAATGGCCAGAGCTGGGCCAGGCTGAAGCTGGGAGCCAGAAATTTAATCTCAGTCTCCACATGAGTGGCAGGGACCCGACTAATTGAGTCATCACCTGCTGCCTCCCAGGATGTCATTTGTAGGGAGCTGGTGTTGGGAATGGAGTGGGACACAAACCCAGGTGCTCAGATACGGAGCACAGTTGTACCACGGGGTGGCTTAACTGCTGCGCCCCTTGCCTGTCCCATCCTGAGTTTCAGTGACAGCACATTCGTCTTTCTTCAGCTGCATGTTTCTGATGTCCGAACTATTAGCTTCATTACTTTTCTTCCACATAAATCTTTTCCCCTACATGTGACTGGAGGTTTTAAGAGTGTTTTTCAGAGGGATTATTTCCCTTGGAGTCACACCCTTTATATATATTGTTCTGCAGGATGAGAAATTCCAGGGTTACTTTTGAAACTTACATGGGTAGATGAATCTCACTGAACAGTATTACTGTTCCTCAGGAAAGGAATCTGCCTATGGTGACATTTTCAGATAACATTTACAAGATAGGTAACATGCATATGTCACTGACGTCTAGAAAATTGAGTCCCTACAGTCTCCATTCCTCTTGTAGATGAGCCTTGTATAAGACTCTGTGGTTACCAGACGGTCTTGGTTTTTACTTGGGGCTGGGGTGGGGGTGGGTGGTGGAATCAGAAGTCGTTGGTAAATTTTGAGCAGAGGAGAGACCTGGTGTGACTTAGGCACAGAGGTAGCACTTTGCTGCATTTAGAGTACAGTGTAAGAGAGCAAAACTAGAAGGTGGGAGAGCAGTTGGGAATTTATTGCAGTGATCTTATATGAGATTGTAGTGATTTGGACAAGGAAGGTACCAAGGGACTTAATGACTTAGCTGAATTCTGGTTGCATTTTGAAGAGTAAGCCAGAAGACTACCCTGAGGGATCAAATTTAGAGTGTAAGAGGATGAAAGAGTTCAAAGGTGACTACAGATATTTGTCCTGAGCTTCTAGAATGGAACTGACATCAATTGAGATAGGGAAGGGTTTTTGGAACAGTGAACTTGGATAGTAGATGAGGGGCTCACTTTGGGACATGTTGAGTTGGAATTGTCCACTAGACATCCAAGTAGGTAACTAGACATGCAAGGAGAGATGACTGATTTGCTGGCTGTTGCCTCTGTACCCGTTGATATTTGCAAGAGGCTTAGAGCAAAAGAAAGCTCATGGGAAAATAGTAAGCAATGGTCATGATTGGCAGAATTCCTTCTCCTCCTTTGGCCATGCCATTCAAATTGTTCAGAATGTCCCTGAAGGTCTGATCCTGTTTATTGTGTGTAGTGACACTCTAGTCTACCATTAAAAATCCTCACAAGCTAACCCTGTCTCATCTTCCTGGACTTTTCACTTCTCCACCCCTGGACTACCCTTGATGGTAGTAATTCTCCATTTTTTAAGTGCAGTTTGAAAGTATTGTTGGTGGGAATGTAATCACGTTCCAAAATTAAAGTTAACTATGTGCACAGTCAATGTAGTTCTAGAAAATGTCATTTGAGTAAAAAAATATTTAGCAATAAGAGAATTCATATAGTATATGATGATAAAGAGAGTTGGGTCAAGCCTTGATATGAATTTAAATTGTGTATCACCTTGGATGTTTAATTTCTTGAGTCTCAGTTTCTTCATCTGTAAAACTGAGACCAGATGGGAATTACAGAGAGTATCAAATGAAATAATGAATGCAAAGCACTTAGCGTAATGCCAGACTCGTAATAAGTTCTTACAGTTGTGAGATTAGCAACACAGCTTTACATTTCCTATGGACTTTTCATAAAGTGTATACCTCTCTATATCACTTCAAATTTAGAAAGCGTCGTCTCAAGGCATTAGACCACAAGCAGGAAAAAGACACTAGGAGAAGAGTCTGACCAGCCTGTTGCTGCTGCTCCCTCCCTTTCCTGACCTCCCCCATCTAGTACCTTGCCCATATGAGGTAATTAACATTGACTTACCTCAATTGGTCATAAAAGGAAAAAAAACCTAAACTTGTCTTTTCTCCCTTAGGTTAATTGTTGTATATTTTGTTTATAAGTGTAATTCTTTGAGGGAAAATAGAATGTGTTTACTATAGAAAAGCACATATTCTTTAACCTAATAATTTTGGAAGGAAAAGATAGTCTCCATGGTAAGAAGATGGAAAATAAATAGCATTACTGGATTATAGCACAGAACTAATGCACATTTTATAGTATAAAGGAAAGATTTTTTAGCCTCCTTGTCTAAAAACAACATTGTGAACTCTAAGTTATGCTAAACTGGTGAATAGAATAAAAAAAGAGCTCCAGTATAACAGCTCAGAGTGAAAGTCGATAGTCAGCTCCCTGGAAGCATCCAGGGAAGCAGAAATTTCTGGAACCTGTGACATGCAGAAGCTTAATTGATCCTCCTATGAGTTGCAGGGAAGTCTTTGAAAATAGTTCTGACCTCTCAGAAGCAGATTTATATACACGTAACATTGCTTTAATCCTTGCATCCTGGCATTGCCAAACTAGTGGTATATCAGCATGGATAAAAAGCCTAATGGGACAGCCGGTGTGTGGCATCCCCAGCTCTTCGCCAGGCCAGTTCTGCTTCCCAAACATTCACCTCTGTTCTCTAGGTCTTTAATTCTCTTCTCTCAGTGTCTAATTTGGGGAATATATTTTTCCTGACATTTTTTTCCATATTCTAGTAGGATGTTTTTATTCTGTCTTATTTTTCTATGTGATTAAATCTCTACAGTAGTGTTTGGGGATTACATTACTGTCTCCTTTTTATTTGTTACTACCTAAATTTCCTGGGATAATCTATAGTTGCTGCATTATCCACTTCCCCATCTGTGGCCTGTACTTATCTTACAGTGCTCTCCTTTGCCATTCATTTGCATGGTCTTAAATCCTAAAATAGAGATATTCTTTATGTAATAGTTAACACAGGACATTTAGGACATTAATTATTTAGTACATGCATAAAACACACCCAAACTTCAATATCTGTGTGAGTACTGTCACTTTTTTAAAAAGTTGGAATGATATTCACATAAGCTTTGGAATTTATTTTAGAATCACTTCACAGTCTTCACCAGAAAATCGCTGCCTTTACAGTGAATCCTCCCATTTTCCCCAGATCAGTGTTACTCACCTAATTCACCAGACCTGATGGCACATTTCCTGTGATAGTTTCCATAGTTCACAGCAGTCCTTAGAGGATGAAAATTTACCCCAGTAAGGATTTTCAATAGATATGGGACATGTCCTGCAAGTGATTCTGAAGGAGAATCACAAAACTGTTTCTTAGGGGTAGCAGCATAATTAAAATTAAGTCTAATTCCCAAGTACTTAAGAAGGGAGAACTCCCTTTTGAATGGATAAGTTCTCTTGTTTTCTGGTAACAGGTTTAACTTAGTAAATTTTTTTAAAGATTTTATTTATTTATTTGACAGGTAGAGTTACAGACAGTGAGAGGGAGAGACAGAGAGAAAGGTCTTCCATCAGCTGGTTCACCCCCAAGATGGCCACAACGGCCAGAGCCAGGAGCCAGGTGCCTCCTCCCGGTCTCCCACGTGGGTGCAGGGACCCAAGCACTCGGGCCATCTTCTACTGCTATCCCAGGCTACAGCAGAGAGCTGGATCGGAAGAAGGGAACCAGGACTAGGACCGGTGCTCATATGGGATGCCAACACCTCAGGCAGAGGATTAACCTACTGAGCCACAGAGCCAGCCCCTGAGCTTAGTATTTTAAGTCACTTCCAAGAGCCAACTCAAAAGTTCTGTTACTTTAACTATATTCTAGTATATAGTGTGCATAAAACTTCTAATCCATATGTGTGGAAAATATGCTCTTAATAATAATAATAATATGTCTGTCTTATTGTCTCTAGGACTATACTTGATAAGAAGGAGTTATTGGAGTTTGCTCAGCTTGGTTGTTACTTGGAATATGATCTCTTTGGTACTGCACTCCTTAATTACCAATTCAACCCGGATATTGACATGCCTGATGATAACAAAAGAATTAGAAGGTAAATACGATGAAATCTCTCATGGACTTTCCTTTTGCCAGCCCTTTCTGATTGCCAGATCTGGGTGAGTATTAGCAAAGATTCAGAAAACAGTAAGCAGGCTGAACCACAGACTTACAGAGAAAAATATATCTATGCTGTCTCAGAGAGAAAAATCTCTATATATTATTTCTAGGAGAAAATGAGTCATCCTAAGTAGGCTAAAGCCTAGCAGAGCCTTAGAAGTTCAGTGCAGATGGGCAGCTGACAAGAAACATATATACTACTCAGCCTCTGCTTTGACAATGAGAGCAAAAGACATTTTCTTCCTTTACCCCCAATAACATCAGCTGTGATTTTCCCCAGGATGACCACATGGAAGTCGTAACTTCCTACAATTAATATGTGAAATTCTTTTGTAAAAATAATCATTGGCAGGTGATTGCAATTTAAATGCTAGATAATCTCCCAAGACCACACGACATACAGAATGCAACCTCCCAAAATTGTGTAAATTGTGATGAGAGTAAACAATTGTAGGAGTCGTTCATTGCAATCAAGTGGATAGTTTCAGGAATCAAGGATGGCTACCTGATTTGGTGTAGGTCATGCTGTGATATGAAGATTTAATGAATCAGGTTAAAGAACCTCAGAAAGTAAATGTGTTTGGGATTGACAAGAAAGTTCAGAAGTATCTAGGAGTTGCTAACCAGTGGAACCTCAAGATAAGAGTATGAAGCTCAGGGCTGAGATTTGGTCTGAGATGTGAATCCAGACACCATTGATTTGTATGTGATCCTGTGAATCGTGGGAATGAAGGAGATCACTCAGAGAAGAGGATGAGGACAGAGACCTGAGGACAGACACTTAAGAGATGGAGTCAGGATTAATTACTCAAGGATAGGTCAAGAAGTTTTCCAGTTGATAATATCAGAGGGAAATGTTTTCATGGAAGTCAGTGAAAGGAGTGTATAAGGCAGAAGGACTTGAAATGTCTGTTACACAGCAAAAAAAACCAGCAACATAGACTGAAAAAAAATCCATTGGCTTCTACAATTAGGAGGCTCTCATTTCACAATCAGTAGAAAAGACTCCAGGAATGAGTAAGAGGTGAGGAAGAAGACAGAATGTGGAGGTTCCTCTTTCAAGATGTGTGACGGTAGATGGAAGCAGGGAGGCAGAACTGGAGCCAGAGGACAACACAGGAACAAAGGAAGCTGTCACTAAGAATTGAGTAGATTAGTGTGCTGGCACTATGGCGTAGTCGGCTAAGCCAGCATCCCATATTTGTGGCATTTTGAGTCCCAGCAGCTCCACTTCTGATCCAGTTCCCTGCTAATGCCATGGGAAAGCAGCTGATGATGGTCCAAGTGCTTGGGCTCCTGTACCCACGTGGGAGACCTGGAAGAAGCTCTGGCTCCTGGCTTTGGATCAGACAGCTCAGGCCATTGCGGCCATTTGAGGAGTGAACCAATGAATGGAAGGCTGCTCTCTCTCCCTCTCTCCTCTTTCTGTATTTCTGCCTTTCTAATAAGTCTTTTTTAAAAAAAATATTTTATTTATTTGAGAGGTAAAATTACAGACAGTGAGAGGGAGAGATGGAGAGAAAGGTCTTCCATCCACTGGTTCACTCCCCAAATGACTAAAACGGCTGGAGCTGAGCCGATCCAAAGCCAGGAGCCAGGAGCCTCCTCCAGGTCTCCCACGCACGTGCAGGGGCCCAAGCACTTGGGCCATCATCCACTGCTTTCACAGGCCATAGCAGAGAGCTGGTTTGGAAGAAGAGCATCCAGGACAAGACCCAGAGCCCATATGAGATGCCAGTGCCACAGGCAGAAGATTAACCTACTGTGTCACAGTGTCAGCCCCAGTAAATCTTTAAAAAAATTTTTTTAAAAAACAGTTGAGTAGATTTTCTGGGTAAGAGCCAAAGTGGAGAAGGACAGAGAGAATACATTCAGGGAAGCACTGTCATTCCACCTGGTTTCTAGAGAATTTATGTGAGATCAAGTATGCAAAGTTTTGTCCTAGTGTCTGGTGCAGAATACACAAGTCTTCAATAGAGGTTGACTTTAAAGAATCTGGGGAGATAAGAAATATAAAGCAAGGCTCCTGAGGGGACACTTGTAGATGGAATCTGGGGAACAAATACAAAGCTGGTTTGAAAAGATGCTTTCTCCATTGAAATGAGAGTGCACAAAGCAAGCAGTGGTGTGAAAGCAGATAAATGCCTTAGAGGCACTGGAAACTGAATGTACATAGCCATGTGTTCTCTGGGGTCCATCAGGAGAGGGCCTTGTGGAGGAGGAGGAAGGCTAGGGCTCACTGTCAAGTCCATGAGAGAGGTACTGACATGTCATGTGTGTGAGTCCTAGCACAGGCTGGGAATCATGATTGCTTGACACTGTGTTGGCACCAACCCACACAACTGGGTGATTATTTTACCCAATAATGTTCGAGGTTTGGTAGGAGGACCATAGAAGCTTGGTGGATAGAAGCAGAAACTGCGTGCAGTTAGAAAGATCTAGGGTTGGGATTTTATCTGAAAGATATGGTTGATAGCCAGGGGAGCTGAAGAAGGGGTTAAGATTAGGAGAGAAGCTGGAGAGAAGGAAGTATAGAGAGGTTTGGGCAGATATGTGGGAATAACATACAGGGGAAATAACTGGATGATTTAATGAAGGGGGTGAATATTTAGGGTAGAAGAGGTTGAGTGGAAAAAGTAGAAAGAAGTGACATGATCAGGGTAGGAAACTGAAGATTCTGATTCCAGAGGGGGAATCCAGTTCTCCATGATGACAAGTCCTGGAGTTTGGTCAGAGACTCAGTGAGACTAAAGTTGAGAAGTGATGTTCAGTCCATGAGGTTCAAGCATTGATAACTGAACATATGCACGCGGCTGTGAAGGGAAGTCATGGAGCCAGTGTCACTGAGGGAACATCCTGAGGACAGACCCTTCCCCTGAGTGTTGGCTTCTGTGTTTTCATGCTGCTCCTGTGAATTGGCGTTCCCCCAATGTCCTCCTTAACAGTAAAATATCATTAGAGAGAGCTACTAGAGCCATGTTCCACTCGTTATGCTAAAGAGGGGCATTCAACTGTACTGAGCAAACTGCTTCAACTGACTTGACCAATGAAGCTGGGTCTTATTTTTCTCTGAAAAACAGACTTATTGTTTTCTTCTTGTTGTCTCTTTTGTTTTATTATTTTAATTTACTTGCTCAGTAACACCATTCAGTGCAGGAAAACAGGTTTCCCCGGAGTCCTGCTAGTTTGCACCATACTCAGAGGCAACTATCCTTTGCCGAAAGGCATCTGGAATTTGAAATGGGATGGTATTGGATGGCCTTCCTCATCTCTTATGATCTCAAAAACATGACTTACTGATGAATGCCCACAGCACGTGTTTTACAATTCATTCTAGAAATAGGAAGTGTACACTCAGGATCTTCTTCCTTTTCCTAAGCCTCTTTATGACCACGAGGTGTATATTTTGTACCCCTGTGCCTTCCACGAGGCTCCCAGACCTTCTGGAACAAGAGAAAGGGAATCTCTGAAGGGGGCATCTATGAAGGAGGCATGAGGCGAGGGTGACCAGTGGCTCCCACAGCACGTTTTAGTGCTGTCTGGATATTAGTTCAAGTACAAGAACTTCATTTTAGTTATCTTTTATTGTGCAAAATGTAAATATTATGGATGTATAAGAATATATCAGAAATTCTACCCAATACATGTATGCATGTGTGTATGATGTGTGCTATTATATGTTTGTGTATATGTGTGTGCTTAATCCTCCTTAAATCGAAACCATACCTTAGGTCACTTTACCCAAGTACAGCTCCTGTCAGTTACTGAATGACCCTTTGGGTTGTGTGTGCTCCAGCACTCCTTGTCTTGAGAACTGGCTTTTGTCATCATTCATCCACCATTCTTTTCTGAGCCATAGAAGTCTTGGAGCGCTAGAGTACACAGAAGCACGCTTCTGCCTACCTCTGGTTTTCAGCACCAGAAATTGTGCGTCTAACACCTGTTTTCAATCTTATGCTCCATTTCTCAAATCTTATTATATCTCTGCCTTTTCACACTTTGTAGTCTCTCTCTAATATTTGTTTGCAAAACACTAACTCATTTGTGTTGCTATAATTACCACGGCTTTTTGTCTTTTCATCTGTAGCGGTTCCTCCCTTCTGGCAGCATCTCTGTAACTCCTGTTCTTCCAAATCGTGGCACAATATGAGAGATGGTCTCTTAGTGTAGGGATGATCAAGCAGGGTTCTTTGATAGTCAAGATGGAATTGTTTTCCTGGAGCCATAATATTATCCTTCTCATGAGATAACTAGCCTCCAGATCCTTGACTTAATAAGTTCTAAGTATTCTCATTCTTCAATAAGGGCATTTTATCTACTATATTCTTCCCTTATTACTTCAGAATTTGATAACTGTGTGTTTCAAGGTGTGCCAAAGATATCTTATAGAAATATACATATATGCCTTTGTAGGAATGAAATGCCGTAATTCTCAGGTTAAAAAAAAAAGAGATTTAAAACTTTGGGATATGCTCAGAAATTATCAGAAAGACAGTGTATCCCAAAACCCCGCAGCCTTTGATGCTCTCATGCAACTGTGGATCAATGTTTGTCACACTATGTTTCAGCATGGTGCATGCACTTAGTCAAATCTCTTTTTCAAAAATGATCATCTACTTCTCAGATAATTCCCTTAAATAGAATTTGTTCCAAAAGTAGCTGCAGATCAGAAGTTTAGGTCGTTATACAAATTCCAATGACACAGTTTACCTTGGTGGCACTGATGGCATTGTCCACACCCATGGAACAGACATGGGTACATGCAGCATGCATGCTGACTCCTGGACAAAGTATCCACTTTGGCTCTTCTACTCTGGCACTGCATTTCTTTGACCTGCCAGTGTCAGGTCTAATCTTCAGTTATAATTTAACTTAAATTATATGTTCTTAGAGACCAGAGCTTTGTGCTTGCGTGATTTTGTGCATCGTGTCCCACATTTTGCTAACCATGGTAGCTAGTAAATATGACTCATACACTAGATCGCCAAGAAATGCTATCGAAACAAAAAATGATACCTTTCAAATAATTAGCCCCTGGAGGAAGGTGCTGTCCTTCCATCTAGTTCTACTTAGAATTTAGATACTAACAAGCATATACGGAGAATATCAGAGAAGATCCATTGTCGCAAGTTGCATCTTTGCCATCAGAGGCCTGTGGGAGTCAGCACAGACACTGCCCAGGGTCCAGCTACTAAAGGATGGTGGCTGTCAGGGGCTGACTCACAGAAAAGATTACAGCATTTAACCAAGCAGAGAGGACTGCACTTTAGACAGTAGTCAAGGAGCTGCTGTTCTTTAGTGACTATAGACCATGAATTTAAAGAAGCAGCTGATTATTTCAACAATCTTGTTGACGTGGAAGTGAGAGTAAATTTTTATTGGCCAATTTAATCCAATGCCCAGAGACTACACTACTAAGTTAAAATTGCAATAGATTTCAAAAGGAAGAATATTCAAATGACACAGTCATCTTTGCCAACTTTTCTCAAAAACTGTGACTTACCATATGATTTCACTTTGCAAACCAACTGGTTTTTGTATTATTTTTTTAACCCTCAGAGTATTTGACTTGTAGGAAGATTCCTTTTATTTTGTTATTTTAATCACAAAGAGCCACTGATTTTATTCACTAGATAAAAAGAGAGATTGAGAATAAGATCTGAAAAATGGGCCCAGCAAGAGAGGCATTTTAAAGAGGAGAGCTTAATATAAATCCAGGACAAAGTTATTTAGTGAAATGCTAAAGTGGTCATTCATTTGAACTGGCACATCCTATTAGAAGCCATCTTTAATGCAGTATTGCCAGGCATTGTCATAAATATCACAGGTTAGAAATTTCGGTGTGCACAGAATAATGATCATGTTCCTACCAGGATGCAGCAATATCTTATCATCACCACACAATGTTTATTAAGGGTCTCCCAGCACACATCCACAGTGGAAGGCAGCATCTTCACGACAAAGCGCAGCAGGGTTATGAGTGAAAAGTTGCAAGCACCCTGAAAGTCTGAAATGTGAGATGAATGCCATATAATGAGTTAACATTTTTCACAGGGTGCGTCTCCTAGTGGAAGAGGGCTATGAAGATCGAATTCTGGTGGCACACGACATACACACGAAGCATCGGCTGATGAAATACGGAGGTCACGGCTATTCTCATATACTCACCAACATTGTTCCTAAAATGTTACTGAGAGGTATCACTGAAAACGCTCTTCACAAGATACTAATAGAGAATCCTAAGCGATGGCTAACTTTCAAATAGGATGGTTGCTGTTGAATTCAAGCTGTGAGTATAAAACTTGTGGAAAACACGCAGTGATTGCAAATCCACTGTGAGATATTAATCAGAGCTATCCAGGACTAAGAACTGATTACTTTCTTCTTATGGGAAGAGTTTGCCTTCTCTGAAACGGGCTAACAAGTATACCTGCTCCTCTGGGAAGTTACTGAGGGTCATTGTGCCCAATGTTCTACCTTAGCAAAATAAATCAAAAGGAACCTATTTCTAAAGGATGATTTAAATCTGCATCCCCTAAGTGGAGTTCTTGTTCCTGGATTTCTCCCCCTAATCTATCAGCTGAACTACTTGAGAAAATGTTAAATGTTTCTAGTTAAATTACCCCCTTCTGGAGCAACCTAATGTTTGTCGTAATATTGATGATCCTACTAATTATCCTGCTGTTCTTTAATTAATGCTTAATGAATAATATGGCACTTTAAAATAGCTTCAGCAACAAGAGAAGTTAAATCTTGAGATTTTCTTTCCCCCAAAGGATACAGTAATATAATTACAAGTTCACAATGATAAAAATATTTTGGAAGATAAATTGGATGCTATCCAACTATCTACATCTACTAAATCAGTTTTGATGCCTTTGGCTTTCTAGTATCCATTTTTTGCCGTAAATTGTGTTGTGTTTTACAAAGTCTGGATAAGAACACAGTATAACAGTATTGAATCACAGACATTCAATCATAAAAATCAATATATTACATAAGATAGTTTAATGAATCATTACATAAATAACAAAGGCCACAATTTAATTAATCCATAAGATAAAATGCAAAAAGATAAATGGTTGCCTTATATATATTCCCTTTATTTCCTTCACCTTTTGTGTGTTCTTTGGGCCTAAACATAGAAAATAATGCTGATTTATGTGAAGAAAAGGTCAGATCTATTGGAAATGACAGTCCAAATCTAGAGCCTACTCTTTAAACGGTATCAGGCCCTGATATTTTGTGTAAATAAAGCCTTTTTTAAAAAAAAAATTCAAAACTCAGTTGATATGACTGCTGTTCATAAGGTAATCTTTTGAGCGAATGCCCACTGTGCTGTTAAGTACTTTCAAAACTCAAAACTTTTGCTGCCAGTTCTTCTTTGACAAATATATACTGTTAAATAGAATTAAAATCCATTGCAATTCATGTGTGAGTTATCTTACATATCAGAAAGGCCAAATAGAATTAGTCATTATTCTTGATGAATGGGGTGTTTCTAATCATATCAGTCACGACAGTTACTCAGACCAAGGCATTCCAACAGCAAACAACACCTTCCGATGGGAACACCATGCAGAACTCCGAGAAAGCTGGAGTTTGCTAAATGAAAGATATGTCAGCTGATCAAAGATGATAAGCTTGTTGTGTATTAGAACACAAAGTACCAAAGAGGAATGAGCCTGGAGAACCAACCAGTTCCTTTAAATGAAAAAATGCAAATGTCCTTCACCAGTAAAACAAGCAGATTTTTAAATCTCTGTTTTTGAAATCTGCTTGTCAAAGAGTCTTCAAAAGCAGCTGAAAAGAGAACAGATTTTTCACTGTAATCGTGGAAGTTGTGAGATAGGATATATCAACATGCATTTTTAATCTTTTCCTTAGATTAAAAAGATGGCTTTTGGCAGTGTATTTTAACTAGAGAGAAAGGATTTGCACTACTCTCAAAATCTACTTTACTGTCAGCTTCAATCCACCTGAGAAAAAAGAAAAAATTAATAACTGAAATGCATATAATTCATAGATGTGCGAAGGGGAGCCTCTTTGTTTCTGCAGTCCTGACATTCAGTCTGCCACAGAATGCAGTTACAGTATTGATTGGCATATGTTAATAAAGCAGCAATCGCCATAACTTTCATACATTTGATGGAGGGCATTTTAACCTAAGAAGATGTGATTTTCTGGATAGCTTATAGAGAAATAATTTAAGTTGTTTTGCTACTCCATATATTTTCATCATCCAAAATACACTTCAATCCAAAATAAATCAAATGATATATGCATCTGTGTGTGTGTGTGTGTGTGTAGACATAGATCTTTTTAAATTTTTGAGGGTATATAGCCATTCTCTTTTTCACTAAAGCTATATATATATATATATATATATATATATATATATATATATAAATGTGTTTTGGGAGAAGGTATTTGTGTAAAATATATACTCTGTTGTCATATTGGTTATATGTGAAATTGTGTTAATTTTGAAATAACTGCAGGCCACAGACGTGGAGTAACTCTTTGAAGGCCTTACTTAGTGTCCCCTTGGTAATGCATGCAGTAGCTCAAATTAAACCTTTGTGCATTGGGTTATGAATAATCTTTTGTTCCAAAGAAGGCAAAAGCCTCAGTCTGATTTAATACCAAAGAATAAATTTTTCTGACTTTGCAAGTAAATCTAAATGTATTCTATGGACAAAATGGACACAAAGGGAATTTTCTAAATACCAGACATAATTACACATTTTTCACATTTAGAGGGTAATCCTATGATACAATTTCCATGTCTGTTTTTAAAGACTATCACCAGAAAAGAAAATTTGTAAGAGAAAGAAAATGTGAAAATGATCATAGGCTTGGGGATTTCCCCATATCCAGAAAATTCCAGGTTAAGGCTTGAAGTTGAATCATTCCCAGGTCTAGGTCTAAAGTTTACAAGAGTACAAGGCAAACAATTTCTTTGGGGACAAGCAGCATTATTTCAATTAGACCTTCTGTAGGGTGAAATCATTCTTCCCCACACTATGAATGGACTCCAAGTATCATAATAAGCAAGTAAACTCACAAGAACCAAAGCTGACATAAGGATAAAAGCAGCAAGATCACAGTACACCAAAGTATCATATATATTGAAGAAATAATTCAATGTCTTAGATTTCTCTATAAAAATTTGTGATCTATATAGGACTTCATTCACATGGACACTAACAATAAGGAGTATTTGCTTTGGCGGTAGTGGATCACACATCTGCTTATCTTGCTTTAAATATATTTTTACATAATGTTTCTGAGCGATACAGATGTGAGTCAGGTAGCATTTGATTCCCCCACATATACACAACTGAGGTGCCCTTGCCATCGGCATCCCCTGGGATCCTTGATTCACTGACGTTAGCCATACGAATCCAGTGTTCAAACTCAGAATAATAAACTTAGTTTCTGCATTATCAGTCAGCATAAATAATAAATCCAGAAAACGTGCTGTATTTGTTGTTGTTTCCTCCGTGGGCTTTCCCACCATCTAATTTGATATAGACTTCATCTCCTGGCTCCAGGTGAAGAACCACACTGTTACTGGCATAGTCGTAATTTTGATCAGCATCTTGGGCAATTGCACTAGCACGGACCTATGTGAAACAGACAAGAGTTAGAGTTTGTGAAAGAATCCGCACACTTTTCTGTTTTTGTCGTTGCTTTTGTTTTGCCATTCACACAGCAGACTTGCTGCCATAGCACAGAATTTAGCATGGGAAGGTCCATCTTGCCTCAGAAGTGTAGGAGGAAAATCCCTGTGATACTTTGAATGATATTATTGGAAAGGAGAAGAGTGGGAGCCATTAGTGCTTTAGTTAGGGGCCTTCTAACAGTTTTATTAACTAGACATCATAAACAATGCATATCAATCTATACTCTTCCTAGCTTACTTTTCTAATTCCTTGAATCCCTATGCCCAATCACTTTTGGAAATGGAAATAATCGCATTATTTTGCATTTTAACTGAAGCCACATAAGAATATTCTAACTGGCTATGAGTACAGAAGTTAGTCATCACAGTTATTAGAAAACTGAGATCTACAGTAAGTACAGATGAGAGAAATACCACTACTCTGTAGGAAGAAAAAAGGAAGAAAGTCCCTTGATTTCCGGCTTTCGAAATCTAATTCAAATAAAGCCCCCTTCAGCAGGCTCCTTTAGGAGCTTAACTCATGTACACATCTTTAGTAATCACCAGGTTGTCAGGGTTCTTCTATTTGTGCCTTTTCATCACCAAATGACCATATGTGCACTGGACAATCATTTAAGTTCAATATATCTGAAAGCTAGGGAATGCACTAAATGTCCATGATATGAGGTCTCTGAAATTTCTGAAATTTTTGAATGACTTTCTTCAACAGCCTTTCATGTTTAGAAGATTCTACATGTGTGGTTTGCTTTGAGGATGGAAGTTGTTTATAATCTACTCCTGTTAAGCCTGTGGTCTCATTAGTGAGTTGATAGACATTTGCAAACAGTCAAATTGCCTATCATATCCTTGTGATACGGACATTCTGTCGCATCCTCAACTCAAATTAGGCTTCATATTCATTTAGATATATTTGGATTCTGTCTTGGAAAATCTTTCAATAGGCAGACTTGCATTTGATTTATTTCAGTAACACATCTTCTACTTTGTGGCTTGTTTCTATTCCACGATAATGATATTTCCCCCGAATAACACAGCAAGTGATTTAGTGGTTTTGTAAATCTGCACTATGTAATAATGCATGACTTGGGGTACAATATGCTGGGTTTTATCACTTGGCAAAATGAAGGAAATGAGACATAAAGTCAAGAATTCCCATGCATTTCTTTCAAATTTTAAATGATAGGTTTTCAAATTAAATTTTCATGTGATACGTTCTCACATTACTGCTGAAATGTTAAAAAAGGAGAAGGCTCCTTGACACTGCTGAACTTGTAAAGGAATTTGAGTGGTGCTTTAAAAATTTCTTTTGGGCATCATATAGCAAAGGGAGAAAAGGGCTTACAGCATTTGGAATTGCTTAACACTGCGCTAACTGGCACTAATAGAAGGAGAGCAATACACCATGTAATTATGCTCAGAAGCATTGACTCAAATGTGTACAGCACGAGTGAGGTGATCTGTTGTAACCATTAAGTAAAAACACAACAGAACTCCACCCTACTTCCCACGAATTCATCATCAGTCAGTAAGAGCCGAATGCTTGGATTTCATCTAAGTCATTAATTCCTAGGGAAAACAGTCTACCCAAGGAGGAGACTGCTATTATGACCAGAAGTGTTTTGAACATGGATTTTTAATGCATGAGAAAAATCAAAATACAAAAAAAGAAAGTTTCCAATTATCTATATTATTAACATTTAAACTAATTTTCAATCCATAACATAGGTCTCAACTTTTACTGATCACCAGACATTCATTTTATTCAGTGCTTTGGGTATTTAGTGTGTGTTCTGTGGGGATTGTGCTCAAACATTGTTTTTTCATGAAGGAATTTGGAAATCAGGACACATTAAAATCTCTTGATTTAAAGAAAATGATCTTAAAAATGTGTAATGTAGTTTTTATTCTATAAGGTACAATCACGAAACCAAATCAACATTAGCGTGTGTATTGAGGAGGTGTAACCACAGAATCCTGCAGATGCATTGCAGGGACACCACGGGCTGGAAGGGTGATTCGTTTTTAATGGAAGTAACTCCCTAAGATTTTAGCCTATACTGTACCATAACACCTTCCCAATTAACTAACTGCCACACTCTGTGTACTCTACATGATTTGAGTTTGCCTGCTCACTGATCACACCCTAAAGGTATAATGGGATCTGAAATGTCAAGCTCTAGTGTCCAGCTCAGTGACTTCAACAGATCTTCCTTTAAGCCATCACACTACTGAGGAAGGTAATGGGTTCACCCTGGTGGCTATTTTCAGCCTCCTAAATGTACACTGATTTCAGCATTTTGTCAGAGAATATGAGGCATCCTTTTCTCAGCCTACTACACTCCTTTCTACCTCTAAATTGGCTCCAGTATCTTTTCTTATTCTGTTAACTATTTAGATTCTGCTTTGTCTTCAGTTCATCTTTCCCTGCCCCTACAAAGATAGACATATTATTAAATTCTCAAATAGATGACTGTCAACCCACGAACTATTCATTCTTTCCAATATATCTTATGTTGACTGGTGCCCTAAGTAATACATTCTTAAAAGAAAAAGCAGTGGCCTTTAATTACTTTATAGTCCTAACCTTAAGCCAGTTTTAGTTTTATAATATATATAATATTATAATGGTATTATCGTGGTTGTATTCAAATACAATTTTTTTCAGATTTTCTACTAAAAGTGCACAAATATTAAAAGCATTTCCTTTATATAAAGCTATCTGAGTCCAACTTTTTCCTTTAATATGCACTGTCATGAGCTCTCAACAAATACTAGGATTAAATTCATGTTGATGGTTTCATGGGGAATTTGAGACCTGTGGTCCTTTTAGTGGTGTGCTTGCGAGAATGGAATAGGTTGTGTAGTTTTAGTATTATCTTATTATTGAGGATTTACCATTAGAGACAGTATTTATGGTAACATTTGCTAATTTAATTAATTGGTACTGATGTTCTCATAATTTCATTTTCATTGTACTTCTGTGGAATCATAAACAAAAGGTTAAGTGGCACATCAGGTTAATTTACTGGCCTTTGATGTTTCCATCTGTGATCCTGCGTTCAACACAAAGCATAAATAAAATGGCTCTCACATGGTTACGGTCCAGAAGCACTGCTGTCTCCTACAGTCACCTGCATGTTTAGTTTAATTTTTGTGCTTCTCAAAACCCACTTAATCCACAGAACACGACATTGCCATGGATCTCTGAGCTTCTGTTTTATGAAAACAAATCGGGTCAGCTCAAGAAGAAACTGCCATCCTAAGAAGTGATCAGACAAGAGTATAACTGAAAATCAAGGATAAAGTATTTATATAAATTAATAAAAAAGAGATTTTATAAGCTTTCTCATTCATAACTGTCTGCAGACCAGACTTTAGACAATGGTTCTATTCTAGAGATAAAATTCCTTAACAGTAATATTGTAACAACCACTTTGTAAAATAGTCCATGTGGAGTTCAAAAATATATTGTTTACCACTATACATTTATTTTTTTATGAATTAACCTGTTGCACACCTTTTGCAGGAGTAGCAGTTTAAGATTGCTAATGGAAAACCTTACACATTATAAGGGAAGCTGTTTTCCTTTTTTTTCCTGAACCTCATAGAACGTATATGCTACAGTGATACAAAGGAGCATTTTACACTGTAAACAATGGAATCAGTTAAAAACAAAATGCACGCAGTACATCTAGTAGAGAATTTTTCTTGGGATCAGTGAAATAAATATACATGGACTCAGCGATGTAGACATCAACATTTAAACTTATTTAAATGTATTACTCCCCAGTTTTTCATGCAATTGCAATTTCAGATATTTTTAAAATGGCCATTTTTAATACATTTGCTAATAAAACTGGGAGTGTTTTCCATTTTTAATTGCTACCTCTGCAAACAAGCTCTTCAGCCTGACAGTGTTCCTCAGCCCTAGCCTCTGAGTCAGAAGAAAATCCATTTGCAAATAGAAGGGTGCCTAGAACCAGCCCTCTGGAGGGGCAGTTAGAAACCATTTTGTTAGGGTGACAAGGTGGCTCTATTTTGGAACAGAGGCATGCCCTTTTGTGCATTTACCTATCACTATCCCGCTGCTCTGTAAATAATTGTCATTTATCTGAATATTATTTTCGTGCATAATAACTCTAATAAACAACCCTGTCAGTGCCTCCTGGTGGCCATTTTTTCTTTTTGTTCTATGTGTCCTAGAGTGAGGGTGAGGGGTTGGGGTCTCTTCATCTATTTGCAGGAAAGGGTAGGCCAGACTTTTGTTCTGTTTGTCTCCTGCACGTTTAGGACACCTGTCTCTGACTTTTAAAAGACTTCTGGCATTGAATAAGGTCTGTCTTTGGGAAGAAGCCCTGCTTTGAATGATGCTTTACAGAAACTCGGGTTATAGCAAGAAGGCCTGAATTTCCAGGGGGCCAGGGCCCCCGGAAGCCCAATAGCCCTTGTATGAAGTCAAAGTTGCTGTTTGCAGCGAGACCTCGCGATGGCGGGGTCGCGAGCCGGTTTCTTTGCCACTGGGCAGGCAGAGGAGCTCCCTGGACCCGAGGCCAGACCTCAGGCTGCAGGGCCTCACCCCACTGGCTGCCAATTTAGGGTAGGGAGAAGATCCGATTACACTTTTAGTAACTATAAATATTATTTTTCTCCTTTAAAAAAAATCAGGCATGCTGGCATGTTGTGAATTCCTCCCGCAAGCAGTAAAGTGGCCCTAGGGGAAAGCTGCGGACCCGCGAGCAAATCCTCGCGGCCGGGTGGCGGGAGGGGGTGTAACCTACAGCCATTGCACAGGCAAGGCCGAGATCCAGACTCGCACAGGTGCCCCGGGGCTCGCTCTCCGAGAGGCCCGCAGACCCCCGGGCCCCCGTCTGCCGCCCTTGGGCCCCCCGGCCAGTGCGTCCCTGCCACTGCAGCCGTCGGAGTTGGAGCTCAGTCCCAACTTTTCCTTTCGTTAGGAGCAGCCCTCACCTCTCTCCTCCGCCGCCTGCTGCTGCCTCTGCAAACTAAACAGGAGTTGGAGTTGGGAAACAGACTTTACGTGCGACTCGGGACCTGGGACGCCAAGGGCCACGAGACTGCCGCACCATCCAGCCTCCGCCCGGGATGCGCCCCGCCTGGACGCATTCCTTCGGGTCCCTTTCTTTCTCGGCCCGCGTCGTCTCGAGTTCCTCACCCTGGCACGCCCATTCCAGACTCCCAACTCCTCCTCTTACCCCAGCTCTTCCCATTCCCGGGAAAAGTCTGCAAGCGACCCTACAGGGCCCTGGAGCCCACGGCTGGGGGGCTCGCTTTCTGCTCCAGGACTGCCCCCCAGAGCATTGGCTGCAGGGGCGCCGGAGCTCTCCGACAGTCGCGCTCGCAGGCGCGCGCACCGAGTGCGGGTCCCAGACGCTGGAAACGCCCTCTCCAGGCTGCGGGGCGCCCTCCTCTGCGTACGACCCCCGCCTCTCCCGGGTGCGCCGGCGGAGCCCTTCCATTTCCGGGGTCTCCTCCCTCTCGCCTGCACCCTCCCCGCCGCCCACCTGCACGCACCTGGTTGTTTTTGCAGAGATCAGCCCACATGCTGGTGCCGTCCCCTCCGCGCATCAGGACGTGGTAGGTGAAGAAGTAGATGCCCGGAATGGAGCAGGTGAACTTGCCCGTTGTGGGGTCGTAGTGGTTCCCCAGGTTGGTGACCACGTCGTCGAACTTAAGCACCTCGTAGCCTTCGTGCTGCCTCTTGAGGCCGGCGTAGAAGGCGATCTTGGGCACCGTGCTGTAGGTGGCAGCGCTGATGGCCCCAGCCGCGTTCAGGCCGGGTGCCCCGGGCGGCCCCGGCAGGCCTTGGCGCCCCGGCTCTCCCTTCTCGCCCGGGGGCCCCACGGGGCCCGGCGGCCCCGGCTCGCCAGGGGGCCCACGCGGGCCCGCCTTCCCGGGCCTGCCGGCTTCGCCTTTGGGGCCCTGGATGAAGGTGGGCAGGGACTGCATGAGGCCGCGGTCGGGCGTGGCGGCCGTGCTGGGCGCCTTGGTGCCCCCGTAGGGGTCGCAGACCATGCGGCAGGTGCCCAGCATCTCGTAGTGCGCCGACGTGCCGGCCGAGCTCACCAGCACCGGGATGAGGATGACCAGAAGCAGCACCATCACCACCCCCAGCGCCCCGGCGGCGATCAGGCGCCTCCTGCTGCCCACCAGCCGGCTCAGCGCGGGGCGATCCTCTTGTCTGCTTTTGGACAAAATTTTGAAGGTTGGGCGGGGACCTCCTCAGAGCCGAAAACAAGCCCCTGCGAACCCCAACTCCCCTGGGCGGGCGCGCACGCCGGCCCCGCTCCTGGCCGGCTCCTGCTCCCCCCCGCTGAGGCGGCGACTGGGGAGGGCGCTGGGCGCCCGGCGACTTGAGCCCAAGTCCCGAGCTGGGGGGCGGGGTGGGGGGAGGGGTGCCTAGGGCGCCCTCTCGCCTCCCGCGAGCCCCTTCGCACCTGTGGCTCCGCGGGCGCCGGCGCGGCCACCCGGAGGGCAGAGGCAGCCGCCGCCTCTCAGCGCTCGTCCGGGCCGCTCGCACTTTTATGCCGCTGCTGCCTGCGATCGACTTTCCCGATTTTTGCAGACTGCGCCAGTTCGCACCAACTTTCCGTCTGAAGTTGCCTTTTTCTGCCGCCTCCTTCTCTTCTTTCGCTCTCTCTATTCGCCCATCCCCTGCCTTGTTTGTTTGTTCTTTTTTTTTTTTTTTTTTCCTTTTCTTCTTCTGCCTTCTCTGCAGCCACCACACAACTCTTAATCGATGCGCACCTCCCAAGTCGCGCGAGCTCGGCCCCGCGCCTCCCCGGTGCCGGGAGCGGCGGCGGGCAAGGTGGGCTCGGTGAGGCCACGGGCTGGAGCGGCGGAGCGGCTGAGCGAGCGAGCGAGCAGCGGCGAGCGCCTCACGGCCGGGAGTGGAGCGGCAGAGAGACTGAACGCAGAATTCTGCCTGGGTACCACCTGCCAGGAGAAGAGGAGGCTGACAAACGCGCGCCGGAGCAATTTATAGGCACCCAAGGCACAGAGGAAGGGGAGCCGCTTTGGCATCTCATTGCAGCATCTGCTCAGCTCATCCCACTCAGAGAGAGTTTGGCATTACTCTGACAATGTGGGATTTTTTTTTTTCGGCCTCTCTTTTTTTCCCCTTCTGCACATGGATGAACAGTGGGATTCTGAATACTCCCTTGCTGAACCCAGGCGATGGCCGCGCTCTCACTGGACATCGGGGCGGGGGAAGGTAGACAGTTTGGGGGCTCAAGGTCACACCTAAGCCCCCAGTCTCCCCACGGCCAGCAGCCCCAGTTGGAGGGTGGAGGTGGAGGTTGAAAGGCGGGTGGAGGGGTTGGCAATGTTTTTCTCCTGGCTCACCTTGGGTGCTTCAGGTGCTTTTTGTCTGTTTTCAAAATGCCACTTTTAACACAAGGAGGGCCCTGTAGAATTTTCCAGATGGTAGATGTCATTTTGTTTAACCTTATGGTTCCCCACCACCATCAGCACCAACCTTCTAACTGACATCAGAGAACAGAGAGGTGTGTTGAAAAGCCGGAGGACATTTCTCTATGGTTTTAAATGACTCTAAATGGACATGGATGCCTCATGCAGGGCCAGGCTTGGCTCTTTGCACAAATGCCGCACAGCGGAGCAGGTAAACATATAGACTCTGTTTACAGGCTTACAATTCCGGCAGCCTTTCAGAACATACTGTCGTTGCACCTGAGGTTGCATTTACTTCAAGATGCTACATGCATGAGGAATCATCACTTGTCACCAGGCCTTCAAAAGTCTAAAGATAAAGCAAGCAGCCTTTAAGCAAGTGCTGGGCAAGGTCTTTTCCTAAGATGTGGGCAGAGTCCTATAAGCACCGAAGCAGATTGCCCAAATCTACCTGGGAGGGGGGAGAGGGTGAAATGGGAAAAATAGGACAAAGAAGAGACTCCATCGGCAGCAGGAGAGGGAGAGAAGGAACTGCCTGGATTTGTTATATTAACGGAAGGCCCTTAGAGAAGCTATTAGATAAGTTATCCCACAAACACATACAAAGACCACAGAACTGCTTTAAGTAAATAAGTAAATCATACTTCTGCATTCAGGAGCAATGGATGTCAATCAAACATGGGTGACATTTACTTGTCAATACTGGGATGATGACTAGGAAGACAGTGACTTATTGCATCAGGGTGAGAATTTGAAATTAGAAGCAGAAACAACTAAGACCACAGCAAGCAAGCAGTAACACCCAGACGACGGGCAGGAGCCCGTGATGTTGTCTCTGGCCGCCACAGCACAGACATCTCCTTCCCTGCTTCTCACCACTCTGCCCACACCTCTCGACCCCACCAGTTTCCTTCTTCTCTGTTTCAGAATAAAATAAGGTCAAGTGGGCTGATAGGAAGACACAAAGATTCATTGATTCCTTTAAGAGAAATGTCAGCGGCTCCTTCAGTTCTTTGCCGGGAGTCAAGGGTGAGGAACTGGGCTTGTGGGTAGCATGGCCCAGGCCTATGCATTATCTATCCATCTGCCTGCTCCTGGTACTGGAACCTAGCCCTTCACACTTTTCAAACCTTTAACCTTTATTTTAGGGCAGTGCTTTTGTAAATGTGAATCCATATCTGGGCATAATTTTTATATATATATATACTCATATTTGTGTATTATTTTTGTTCACACAAGCTACCTTATTTTATATTTTTAAGCCACAAACACATAATAAGTTCTCTGCTGGCCATATGCCTACCTTCCTAAGATACTTTCTCAGCTGCTTCTAAAAAGTGACCTTTCTTTTGGAAAATCATGCAAAGGTGTGTAGTGTCAGCAATGAAGGTCATTTATTAAAGAAATGAACTCTGATACATGAATTTCATAAGGCCTCTTTGTTGGTAAAGGAGTTTAGTAGGGGAAAAACAGAAAGCTTTTAGAGGGTAGCAATGTATAACATTGCTCAAGAAACACAGAGTTTTCCAACAGAAGAATGCTCATCCTATGAAGGAACTCACCCAGAACAACATGAGGTAGGAGAGGTGGCCCCTAGAAAGCTGTCTCCACATTGTTCATGCAGCTGAAGAGGCTGGGAGAGCGCTCAGAGGGGAGCCAGGGCCATTCAAGACCTGGCTGGCACACTCTGCTCCATGCATTATTAACACATCCAGTCCCAGCCGACCACAGGTGGTGGCAGCCCCAGTAACTGAGGCTTTCCTCCTTCTACTTTGCTGCCAAAGCACCCAGTTCAATTTTACAAGCAGGAGCCCTCACATCTTCAAGCTGCCGAGCTGTAGGGAGGTACTCGCTAGTCATCTTTCACAGTGGCAGACCCTGGGCTGTCAAGTGCAAACCCTAGGTAAGTACACATGGACATCTGGATTTTTGGTGAAGTCAGTTTAAAGCTCCGCACTCCTCCTCCTCTGGAAATGCCCCACCCTGCACTCTAGGGGAAACTTTTTCTCGTCCCCACCCCGGCTTTTCAGGATGACTTGGTGGTGGATGAACGGATGGCTGACGACTGCCCCTCTCCCCTGCTCGGATTTCGCAGAAGGTTCCCAGGAAAGTTACTCACACTTCAGCTCGTGTTCTGACAGTTTGAATAAACCATCTGATCTGGCATATTACTCATCCTCTTTATATGTATGTAATAATAGAAAATGTGTCAATTAAAAAAATATTTGATTTCCTTCAGTCCTCATCAGAGAATCAAGTTCTCTCATATGAATTCTGCAAGTAGCCCTGGAATCTAATTTTCACAGCAAAACCCAAGGAAACACTGGGCTCCACATTCCCATCCCTTTTGCATCTAGGCCTGGGGCCTTTCTGATAAAAAGCCAATTCAGAAACCCAAGGTAGGGGTTGGGTGGCCATCCTGGACTTTTCTTCTTCTCCTCATCACTTCTGTCTCCTTCAGCTGAGCAGATCCTAACTAAGCACACGACTCCTACACAGATGTGCGGGGCTGTCCATTAATCTTTGTTGAGCACCCACTGGCAGCATAGCCCTACCCTGGGTTCTTAACAGGCAAACAAATATTTAGTCATGAGAATGATTTCCAAATCCAACAGCACTCACACAGAAATAGCATTTCTTATAATAAGGGAAAACAATGAGCTAACAAATCCAAAGGCTATCTAGAGAAGCAGACATTAAAGATATTAAAAATTGGCACTGGATCAGTTGTTCGCCTTTAGTTTCTGGGTCACCAAACTGTATTACAGAATATGCAAGGGGTCTTCATAAAGTTGCTGGAAATGCATATTGTGAAAATACTATGCATGCATTTCAAAAATTTTTTGCCTTCCAATAAATTTATTTTTAAATTTTGTTTATTTTCAAAGGCAAAGATAAAGAGACAGAGATATTCTATTCCTTGTTTCACTCCCTGAATGTTCACAAAAGCCAGGTCTAGGACAGACCAAACCTAAGGGTGGCAGAACTTAATCTGGGTCTCGCATGTGGGTGGCAAGGACCCAAAAGCTCAAGCCATCATTACCTGCCGCCTCCCAGGGTGTGCATCATCAGGAATAGGGATCAGAAATGGAGGCAGAACAGGGACTCCAGAACTCCTGATACAGGATGCAGGCATTTTAGACATTTCAACATACCTGACCCAAACCTATTTTTAAATTCTATTTTATCATGAAATGTTTAAAGAACCCTCATATATTCTTTTAACTGAAGAATTCTAGATTTCCAGCCAGAAAGGTTCCTTTTGGAGTTGAGTAGGGAAGCAGTATACACTAATGGCTTTGGAATCACAGGGGTCTTAATTTGAATCCCAGCTTCCTCATTTAGTGGCTGTCTAAGTTCCTTAATCTCTCTGAGACTCAATTGTCTCTTCTGTAAAATAGCAGTAATACTAATATATAAATCATAGGGCTGCAGTAGAGATTAAATGAGTTCACACATATAGTTACAAAGGTACCCAACTCATAAGAACCCCCAAAATGGTAGCTTTCATCTTCATATACGTAGGATTATTGAGTAGTTTTCATGTCTATAAATTGGATGGTAGAACACAAGGCTTAGTGAAGGAAGTTAAAGCTAAAGTGTTAGACTTAAGACAAATGGCATAAAATGGATGATAACTATTATAGATTGAGACTAATTGAACAAGAATCTAAGAGAGTCCCCTGTGTGTACAGTTCTTTTATTTATTTATTTATTATTTATTTATTTTTTGACAGGCAGAGTGGACAGTGAGAGAGAGAGACAGAGAGAAAGGTCTTCCTTTGCCATTGGTTCACCCTCCAATGGCCACCACGGCTGGTGCAC